GGACTTTCCACTAACACTCTATGGCGACAGGTGGCTGCGCTAGGCACTGTCTTGACATTTGGGAAGTGGGGTTCCCTCGCTAACCATCCAAGGATGAATATCTTTCTGCGTGGAGCGGCTAATTTAAAACCACCGCCTCTTTACCGTTATCCCACTTGGGACCTCGTTAAGGTTCTTCAGGCATTAACAAAGGCACCTTTTGAACCATTGAGGAAGGCTAGTCTCCATCTCCTATCGTGTAATGTAGCTTTCCTTGTGGCCATCACATCTGCCCGACGGATCTCGGAGTTGGCGGCTTTATCGGTGCGGAAAGACCTGTGTATTTTTCACTCCAACAGGGTGGTTCTGCGGCTGGACCCTGCCTTCCTTCCTAAGGTCAACTCCTTGTTCCACCGAGCACAGGAGTTAGTCCTGCCAGATTTCTGCCCTCGGCCTAGGCACGCCTTTGAGCAGACCTGGCACACTTTGGATGTGAGGAGGGCCCTCCATATTTACATTTTTAGGACCTCTTCTTTCCGAAAGACGGAGGCTTTTTTTGTCTCTTTTCAGCCGTCGACTCTTGGCCACAGGGTGACCTCTTCCACGGTGGGGCGCTGGCTTAGGACGTGCATCTCATCTGCATATGAGCTTCAGGCTCTCCCGGTGCCTCAAGGGATAACGGCCCACTCCACCCGCAGTGCTGCCACAACTGCAGCCTGGTCTACTCAGGCGTCAGTGGAAGACATCTGTAGGGCGGCCACGTGGACTACTCCCACTCCATTCGTCACTATAGACTTGACTCCTTCGCTTCGGCGGAGGCAGCATTTGGGAGAAGAGTACTGCAGCAGGTTCATGAAGATCTGGGGTTGTCGGCCCAGGACAGCTCCCACCCTTAGGGCTGGCCGGTCTTTGGTATATCCCAGCCTGGCACCTCCCATTTCTACACTATGGAGAAGGGACGTTGGTCTTACCGTGATACGTTCCTTCTCGTAGTGTAAAATGGGAGGTGCCAGCCCCACCCTGTCTGTGGCTGCCTGGACCGGCTCCCCTGGTGGAGCATGTTGTTTCTGTTTTTCAGACTACGTACCATTTGCCTGGACTGCGTACCATTCGCTTTGGCTTCGCTGGCAAAACTGAAGAGACGTCACCAGGGAGGCGGATCTTCAGAAGTTTTCAGCTCAGGACATAGAGCTAGAGCAAGGAATATCCCAGCCTGGCACCTCCCATTTTACACTACGAGAAGGAACGTATCACGGTAAGACCAACGTCCCTTCCATTTCCTTCCTTCCCCACCCCTCCCCACCTGCCAGTCCCCCTCGCCAGTAGAGATCAGCAAGCCAGATTTGGGGAGCTGAATGTGCTGCCGCCGCCTGGGAAAAGAAAAACATCAGAAATGGGTTCTCTCGCAGCATCTCCTTTCTCTCTTCTTCTCCCGAGTGGCAGCGGTGTGTCCGGCTCAACGAAAAGGCCGTTCCGCATGGATGGCAGGTGCGTATGGGGCACGTTCCCCTCTCTTTTGCCCCTCTCCGGCCTCGCCTCCTCACGTCTTGTTTGCGCAGCAGCTGCGTATGCGTCTTGGGGGGGGGGTATTTTACTGCATGCGCTCGAAAGCCCAATTGGGCTTATTATCCGGACATGTCTTAGTTTCAGGGAAACACAGTATTACAAAAACAATGAAGTCAACAATCAAGGTTGGGCGCTTTGTGAGTTTGAGTCTAAACTGCCCTGCATTCCAAGGCAGCATCAATTCTAGGAATGTGAGAGGAGCTGACATTGTATAAAAATAAATGAGAAAGTAGCAGAACGAGTTTTGCAGATGCATTCCATCATTATTAATATGCACTTGATTGTCTATACATTTTTGTATATATTTGTTTTAACTCACATTTCCATTATCGTAGTAGGGCATAGTTTAATATTTCAATCTCAAGCGATATAAAATATGATACTTTGAATGATCAATTAAGTAAGATTCAAATATCTGATAAGGAAAGCAAATTTAGATCATACTGGATTTGTAATGTTTTTGGGATGCGTTTTCTAATAAAAATACTTTTTTAAAATATCTTTTGAATTTTTTTATAATAATATCTTTGAACAATGAGTGACTTTTCCTCTTTCGTTGGTTACTGTTGAAACCTCTTTTTAAATAAACCACACACAGTTTTGTATCTTTTGTTTCCTGCTCAACATTGGTATTTAAGATGATAAATATAAAATATAAAGTACTTTATATCTAGATTTAAGCAGTTTATATATGTAAGTTTAAATATGGAAGGCAAGCATATCATACATATTACAATAACAGAAAAGTCACTTCTGTGTCTTCAAAGGGGATTAGGATAGATATGGTAATCTCAGATTTCGATCCATTTTCTTTCTTATGTGAGAACAACAGACTTCTATGCAGATGAGAGGAACATTTTTTTTCAACTGGTGCCAAAATGCTATAATTTTTGATAATCTTTTTCAGAGTGCACCTATTACTGGATGGTCTGGTTATATGCCACGTGTTGTATATTTGAGTCCTGCATGAAGAGGGCCCTTAGTGGTTCAGTTTATGTAAAACTGGTTTCAGTATATTCTATTCAAAAAAGAAAAAATATGAAATATTGCTTAACTTCAAAATTAATCTTTCAAATAAAGGGAAAAAAAACCAAATAGAACATTGTTAGAATTTTTTAAAAATATACCTTTATACACTCTGAAAATTTCTTTGTCCTCTTATTCGAAAAAAAGTAATTCAAGTGTTGACAGTACTTATAAAAAAAATCTCTTGTTGCAAATTAGGTGTAGATTTCTCCTGCCAGTGTTGCATAATTTTGTCAGCTCCCATCTATGAAAAAACCCATAATTCTTGATGCTTTGATATCTATTGGTAGTAGATTACAACTACCAGAAATAAATCAAGAAAAACATAAACATTACCAACACAAAATAAATTCATCCAGTAAAAATAATTTAAATTGTCTTTTGTTTTTTTATAAATAAGTGGAATACTATTGTTTTTGAATAAAATGTATATAGTTCTTAAGGAACATAAATCATTTGTCTATTAAAAAAATATTCTGAAAGATGGGTCTGAAACACTACCATGCATAATTAATTATGATTGAAGAATATCTGGTGAATGGGGTTGTAGAAATTCGGTGTGATCTTTTAGTCATTTGCTTTGGGGATTAGGAGGCACTTCCAACAGGGTTAACTTTTCCTGAGGCTAGATATCATTTCAATTTACAAATAGTCCTCACTCATCAGCTACTTGTTCAATGACCGTTTGAAGTTGCGATGATGCTAAGTGAGAGATATTTATGACTGTTCCTTGAATTTTTGGCTGTTGCAGTACCCCTGCAGTTACATGATTGTGATCTGGGTACTTAGCAACAAGCTTGCATTTATGATAGTTGCAGTATCCTCTGGTCATATAGTTACCATTTGCGACATTCCTTTTCAGTTTCCTACAAGGAAAGTCAATGAGGAAGCTGACAGGGAAGGCCAAAATGTAATTCCTCCCCAACATACTTTAAAGAAATGTGTGGTTCTGTAATGTTCAGTAAGAAATTTGCATATTGAAAGGGCAAACAACTTTTAAGATTTGTTTCAAAGTATTATTAGTTTCTGGAACTGATGGGCTCTAAAAGATTGCTACCAAATAGAAAATAATAATCTGACTTGATAATTACATTTCCAACAATTTTTAGAAAATGAATTGTTTATTTTAACAATCAGAACTGGAATACGATACCAACAGTGGAACATTCTCTATCAATTTTCTCTAAGTATAATATGTGGAAGAAATTAAATATCATTTTCCATTGAAATTCCCCATTGTTGCTTATCTATTCAGATAATAGCTTATATAGCAAATGTGCTCTGACATGAATAGGTAACACACTTGTAATACTTTTAGAGTTCTGTGGCCTTCAAATAGTATGGAATAAAATAATGTAATATTTTTCTTCCCACTTAATTTATAATGAAGTAATTCCCTTACTAAATATTTATTAAAAGTTAAATGAATTGTAAGTTGTAATTATTATGGGGACTGCTATAATCTAAAGAGTCTATCTGCCTTTTATATCTAATTGAATATACTTACATTTCAGACGCATATAAAAATGATAGGATGTAGTAGTAATGTGTAAAAATGAATAAGGTACAATCACAATTTCTTTGTATGCTACAATGTCATATAATAATGCCTCTTACCACACAGTGCTCCTCAACATTTAATTGGTTGCAGTATCTTGAAATACAATGAAGCAATGCAGGAATAAAAGAAATCCAGAAGGGGGAATGCTAAGAGGTGTATCTGACTTTGAAAATCTTATAACGTATAATACTGAACATTGGTTAGGCATAATTTATAAATTACTAGTAAAATATGAGCCAGAATCCAAACATCCATGCAACACACACAGTCTAAAAGATTGTATGGTTAAATGGATGCAGCATTTAAATATATTTACAGATGGAGTTTCAGTGGTAGAAGAAGGAACAAAAGCAAATATATGCATGCATGAATCAGTGCTATGATGCAACGATTGATACGTTTGTTTGTTTTCTTCAATCTTATTCTCTGAAAATCTGAAATGTTACAAAAGTTAGAAGACGGGGGGTGGGGGGGTGGGGGTGGGGAATCCAGATGGTCATTTAAGAGAATAAAGTAGTACTTATGGCATTAGGAAGCAATACATTTCCTCCTAATTCTAACTGTCTTTAATAAATTAAACAGTTGGGCAAATAATTTAAATAACATTGAAAAACTGTACAGTTAAAAAGCAATGAGTAAAATAAGCATAGTATAGCCTACTGATCTGTTAACAAGTATGCAAATATAATTATAATATGATGTTTTAGAACATATTTTGAATACTTTAGGATTTTCTTCTTAGACACATTTTTGTACAATATCTCTCTGTGAGCCTAAAGCAACATTGGTCCTCTTTAATATTAATGTACTCTACTATAAGATGCTGCTTCTTTGCCTCTGATTAATGCTGCCTGTCAATTATTTACAGATCCTGTGGTTTTGTGGAAGTTCCCGGAGGACTTTGGAGACCAGGTTAGACATGTGAGATTGATCCTTTTAAAATGACAGAGTAGTAAATGTAATAACAACAATAATAATATCAACATCATTTCTGTCTCTGCACCAGCTTTTCTACTGAGCTGGAGAAAGACAGATGGTTGGGAATAGCAGTAAGAGAATTTTCACCAGCTGATTGTATTATTAGAATTTGTTTGCTGCATTACACAGGATATTAGTTACTTTCATGGCCTTATTAAGTTAAGGCCATGGATGTACGTGTGGATGGAATTGTTTTTCCTACTATTATTAATAACCTACCTGTGGACTACATTAGTGTAATTATGATTGATATAAAAACATTAAAATTGTCACCAGGTGCATAACTTTATCAATAAGCTCAGGTGGTGATTTTAGACATATTTATTCACACAATACAGATAAATCCGATCAGTTATGAATGTTTTATGATAGCTCATCCCATTGGTGATAGAAATGTCATACACCAGTGTTTCTCAACCTTGAGTGCTTGAAGATATGTGGACTTCAATTCCCAGAATTCCCCAGCCAGCATGGCTGACTGGGGAATTCTGGAAGTTGAAGTCCACACATCTTCAGGTTCTCAACGTTGAGAAACACTGTCATATACGGATGCCACCGTGTCAGTTTGTCTTACACCTGGGGTATTAAACTTGTGGTCCATGGCCTGGATGCATCACGCGCTGGCCACACCCACCCCTGTTTTAGCAAATGGGGAAAAAGTCACAATATGTCACATGTGGACAATGTGATAACGCAAGTTTGACACCCCTGTCTTACACTTAAGGCCAAACAGGTGGAGCTAAATATTAATGGTTTTGAATGCCTTTTTTCACATAAATCTTTAATATTCAGTGCATAAAATATTTATCAGAGGTGTACAATCTGAATTCTGAGGACACATAGTTTCAAGAGTCCCTTCAAAACTTACAAACTATAATTCTTAGTTTGACAGGCCAGTTATTAAATACACAGACAATAATCTATAACCTGATTCAGTTCAGTTCAATTTATGTAAATGTTGGATTTAATAGTTATAATATAAATTAAAATTTTGATTTTACACTGATCTCTCTTGCTTTTTTATTTTTTTATTTTTATCATTTTTGATATACATTATTATTTTTAACAATCTATGCTACCAAATTATGAGAGCCTGGGTACAAATTTGTACTTAATACATTTTACTTCTTTAAAAAATAAAACCATAATTTCATTAGTTCAAGCATATTTTTCAATTTTGCTTTGAAGAATGCCAGATACTTGCATAAAGATAAGGTATATATAAACAATAGCTTAAATTCTATTTTTAATTCTGTTTTTAATATCTGGATTTATATAAGAACTATATTTGCCAGTGTGGTTTACAAGTCAGCAGTTGTGCTCTTGTACCGAGCATAGTACTACTCGTCTAGTAGTTCCAAGGGAGAGAGCCTTCTCTGTGGGGGCACCTACTCTTTGGAACAAAATACCCCCTGGAATACGAATAATCCCAGATCTTCGCACTTTTCGACGAGCCCTAAAGACCTTTCTGTTTCAACAAGCAGGGCTAGCATAAACATCTAAATTCTATGCCAAGGTTTTAGCAGATACGCCAAGTTGACTCAATTTATTATTTACTGTTTATAAAAAAAAAATATTATATGTATATGAAATCTTAATCTGTTCACCTCCCTGAGTCCTTTGGGAGAAGGGCGGTATAGAAATTCAATAAATAAATAAATAATAAATAAATAAATAAATAATAAATAAATAAATAAATAAATAATAAATAAATAATAAATAATAAATAAATAAATAAACAATAAATAAATAAATAAATAAATAAATAAATAAATAAATAAATAAAAAGTAAATGTGAGCTCCATTAAAATCAACAACACTGATTGTTTTTATTCACAAATGTTAATAAAAGCACAGAAATTGTAATTTAATTTAAATTTTAATTCTGGGATTGTTGCTTTTTTGACAATTTTTCACAGAGTAATAGAAGTTGAACTCTGTTTCAGCAGACAGAAACTTCATTTGCAGAATGAAATTAATTTATCTTTGACTGAGAGCAAAGTTTGTTACTTTTAGCCTTACTATCTTAATTATGATTTAATCTCAAAGGCATACTGCAGTTCATATATATTCGTCCACTGGGCTTACATGTATAACAAATGTATTATACTTCAATTAATGTTTTATTTCTTTTACTGTGTTAATTAAGAACTTAGGTAGATTTTCCTTTGAAGCCCTATAGATACAGTTCTTGAAAACAGAAAAAAAAATTTTTTTTTTCATAGAGTTGCTTGGGAAATAGAGATTAATCCCTTCCCCATCATTTTGATCTAGGCCTTGCATATAATACAAGAAAGTGGTCATATTATATACAATAAATGCACCTTATAGTTTATTAAAGTGTAAAAAAGTTTAAAAGATGCAACTAAAATCAAGGCATGCACAGCAGTATTTTTTCCAAATTATACCTGCTTCTTTTCAATTTTCTTGAAAGTGGCAGTCTCTGTATTTCTGTAATAAATTTAAAAATATTTTCCTCCTGACTCTTGGATTGTTGGATACCAGTAGCACTCTTGTAAATTCCTGATTTCCATAAGGCAAACTAATATGTATTTATTTATATTTATTTACTGCATGTCCTGTATTTTTTTCTATTTTAACAATATAATTAACTTTGCTTTATTCTTGTGATAATCACCATCTGAAATTAATATAATATGGCTCCCCCATTTTATGTTTCCTTCAAATATTTATATAATACTCTGACATATTTTTGGTCAAAATATCACCCCTAAGGTCAAAATCGTGATTATAGTACCTTCCAATATTCCTCTATAAAAGCAGCTTGGTTTTCAAAGGTTTGTTCTTTTGGCCCTGAAGTTGAAGTTCTTTTTCCCCTGAATAGTTAGATTAAAAGCTTAACGTTCATGTTAACTTCTTCCTTTCCTTTCTTCCTCCTTCACTGTGAGTAGGCAAGGAACTATACAGAGAAGTATGTTGGATCATTATTCACTAAAGCCCTGTTTTCTCTTCCATGGTTTTCAGATGCACATAAAATGTTAAGAAACTTCAAAGCAGCATTTTGGGCAACCATTTTACTACTTGCCATTGCTCACTGCTTCCTGGAAGGATTTATTTGCCAGGTGAAGGAAGAACAGTTGAGTCAGGGACCACCATTATTTGAATTAGGTTTAGTTAAGAAGGTACCCATTGTCAGTCCCTATTTTATAGCTTCTGTTCTAATATACTACATAACTAACTGAAGATAAGTAAGCGCTGATGTATCCCTCTCTCCTTGGCAAATCATTACAATATGATATTTCACAACACATGTAAATCTGTTCATTTCTCCTCTGCCAGCCATTCATGTCCCTTCTTCTTTCTGATTATAAGTAATGTTTTTCCCCTTGTTTGTCTTTTCTCTCCTGCAAAATTACCTTTTAGTCAGTCTTGCTTCAGGACTTTGCCCAGGAGTTCTGTTTCTAAAAAGGAGTTTCTTCAATATGAAAAGAAAGCATATATGATTTTCCCATATTCCTGTAATCCTCTGCTGCTCTCATTTTTATTAGGCCAGCTACTCAAAGTGCAGAGTGCACAGTCTTTTAATGACACTATAAGCCCACTTTGCTTTCCTTCCATTTTAGTTTTCAAAGTCCAATAAAATAAAGATGTCTTGTCTGGCAAAGATATATTCTCTTCTAACTCTCTTCTTGATTTCAGTGTGCCTAATGTCAGCTTGAAGGATGCCCAGGTATTTGTAGTAGTCATTTTCATCCAGATTTTTGATGTTATTTTGATAGAGCATCTCCAAATTGCATTGTAATATCTTGACTTTACATATGGACAGTGTTGAGAAGCGATTCTATTTTGGATGGTGTTTTTCCCATATAACTTAAAGACTATCCATGTAAAGCAAGTAGGACAGCCTGACAGATTTCTGGATGTTTGGTAGCTATAGCCGCCTGACTTTTTTAATATTATTGCTATTAATACTATGAATAGTGGTTACAAAGAGTCTCTTTTGAAAGATTCCTCTCTTGATATTAACCTTCGCCAGTCTATCACTATTGACCAGCAACTGTGTCTTCCATTGTACCATCAATCTGCACAAAACCTCTGATATTTCTATAGATTCCTATTACAGGTAGTCCTTGACTAAAAACAGTTTAGTGATCGTTCAAAGTTACAACAGCACTGAAAAAAAAGACTTATGACCCTTTCTCAGACGATCCTTGCAGCATCCCCATGATCATGTGATCAAAATTCAGATGCTTGGCAACTAGTTCTTACTGGTATTTATGACGGTTGTATTGTCCCTGGGTCAGCTTCTGTAACCTTCTGACAAGCAAAATCAATGGGGAAACCAGATTCATTTGACAACTATGTTGCTAACTTAACAACTGCAGTGATTCACTTAACAACTGTGCCAATAAAGCTTGTAAAATGAGGTAAAACTCACTTAACTAATGTCGTTAGAGTACAGTACTGCAGGCTATGTCTGCTGATCACCGGCTGCCAGCAGTTTGGCAGATCGAATCTCACCAGGCTCAAGGTTGACTCATCCTTCCATCTTTCCGAGGTGGGTAAAATGAGGACCCAGATTGTTGGGGGCAATATGCTGACTCTGTAAACCGCTTAGAGAGGGCTGTAAAGCACTGTGATCGTGGTTTTTGCAAGAAGCAGGAAAAGTTATCATTGGAACCTTGATGGCATCCCAGTGGAACAGGTCCACAGATTTCAATATCTAGGTATCCTCTTTCAATCCAATACCAAGTGGCCTGCACAGGTTAAGTTTCTCTGTAATAAGGCTAAGATTTCCACCCATGCCCTCGCGCACTTTTTTCATACTGAGGGAGCTCATCACATCCCCTCGGCAATAAAAGTCTACAGGGCAAAGGTGATAGCTGCTATCACCTATGGCGCCCCCCTCTGGGTCCAATCCAACATCTCCTTTCTTGAGTCTGTCCACAGCCAGTTCCTACGCCGTTTGATGG